ATGCCCTTATACGGATCTGCGGACATGCACTGACTATTCAACACAGGAAGTTTTGATTACATAAGAATACAGCTTTCGAAAGCCAATTGTGAGATTCTTTTTGGCAATTCCACGTCCTTATTTCGCGCATTGATCTCAAAAGCGTCAACCTCCACAGTCTTCATTTATCATCTCACCAAATTTTTTTGAAGAATTTTGTTCGAAATCTGTATCGTGGAAGATTTGCGCTTTGGATCAGGTATGCCCAGCTCTTCGATGCTCGGCCAGAACTGCTGTTGCCAAATATAACTAAAAGCGTGCCTTCCGTGCAATTGGTTTAAAAAAAAAAGCTTTGTCTACGGCAGGAAGCAGAAGTGATTAGCAATGTGTAAAGTTTTGTACTGTACAATCAAACTTACCTATTCACCTATCTAGTTGATATTCAACATCTTCTGGTAAAATATACAGTTGGAGTGGCGGAAGGATTGAAGGGAGGAAGGAGGAGCATGTTTATAAAATTCAAGTAGAGCTTAGAAAATTGTATTAAACATTTCTTACGTTTGAAGGAAGCGCGCTCCAATCGATCGCGGCCTTCTGTTACGAGTACTTTATGAAGACGCCTGGACAAAAGATAGAGTATCTAACTTTTGTGTTTAAAACCTTATTTGAGAAGCATATATGTTTTGACCGTTACGGAATGTAGGAGGATTACTTACCCATAGTTTCCCTCGTAGTTGCCTACTTTAACTAGTTATAATTGACAATCTGCGCTGCTGTTTCGATCTCTTCTTTCAGCGCACGTATTTCTGATGTGGGGCTCTCGACATTATTTGCTTATTATACCCAGCTCTCATCTCTTTTTTTTTGTGGTTCTCAATTCTGTATCTGCTTATGCGATCCGCGCTGAGTTCCTTGGTTCCTTCCCTGTCGCTTTTTTACCGTCACTGTCTCGCTTGCAATTTTATCGTAATACTTCTAATCGTTCCTATTGATTTGACAATTCCATTTGATGGTTGTCGCTTTATTCATTTACTGCATTTGATCTTGCATTTTCTTTTGCGTACCATCGATAAGACTTACG